CCCCAAAACCCCAAAACCCCTAAACGTTTTAGTTGAAAAATAGGTTCATTATATAATTTAGGCAAACAAAATGAAATTCAGGATAAATAATCAATAGAATTCATAAATTCTACAGTTGTTTAATTAATTCTAAACTTAAAATATTTGCATTAAAAACTTCAGGCATGATAAAAGACAGCCATTGAACGAGTATATTTAACTAACTATTTCCCTCATTCAGATCTCTTATCAACTAAGGCAATTGGCATTCATTCAAATAAAGGGCTATTTGATTCTTTATAGGGTGCTACTTCATCGTGATATAATGAGTTTTGAATTTTTCATCGAGATTTTCTTTTTCAAATAGCTTAGCATTATTCATGTAGATTTATGATTCCTAATCAGACACTCTAAAGAATAATTCTGGTAGGTTATTCTGGATTGAGTATATTATTGAGGATTCTATATTGTATTGTTCTATATTTTAATGATTAATTCACTCTATAACTTACTATCTTTTATTGTAGTCTCAAATATCAAATCAATATATTTTGATGATTCTTTGGGTAAAATCTAAAGTCATTAAACAATTAAATTCTATCAATACCTATGAATAAAAATCATTTTCATCATCCTAAATTATAATCATTTGGCATGTTAGTATAGGAGATTCTTCTTAATTTCTATTGACAGCATTGACAAATTATTCGCATTCTTAGACAAATCTGTCGAAAGTATACTTGAACTAGTTTTAATTATTTTCCATTAAAGATAAGATGATTCAGAAGAATTATTTGAGTTAATGATTAAAATTTAACATATTATGCGGATAAATCATGAAATAATTTCTTAAGTGATCCCACTTTCAGAAAGAGTTTGAAACTATTCCTTCAAAGTAGTCCTTGGTAGCTTTGATGTTAAGGGCAATCGCTTCTTGCTCGATATCTGGGTCACTTACAATGATCATGATATAGGTACTGCTGGTAAATTCATCAATGAAAGCAGTAAACTTTTGATTTCTAACCACCATTGATTGGAATTAGAAACTTGTCTTAATGCAACTCAATTTGAATTGTTTAATGATGTTGCTGATTTTCTCAAATCTGTGCATATCCTCATGCCCCTTGGCATCATGGTGAGATATAACCAAGAAAGTTGATCTCTCGAAAAGAACAACCTCATCTGCATTAATAGTTTGACAGAATTATTCCAAATTTTTCTCAAGTGTTTTTACATTAGGCAATAAGAAGTACACGATTTAAGACCATGCTTTATAGAGAGTCTCATCCCAGATACTAGTCTTGAAGCAGTCAACTTCGAATCCCTTAGTCTTCTCAACGATCTTCATTCTCTTTTCCTAGAATGTCTTCTCTCTTTGAGATTCGGCTAAGAGATCCATCTTGTGAACCAAACAGAAAATCTTAGCTTTGGGAGATAGCTCAGTTAAGGCTTCGAGACAATTTTCATAGTATTAAAGATCTCCATTAAAATCTTTGCTAGTCACGTCAAATACATAGATTAGAACCTAAACATTCTTGAAAATATGCTCTCTTTGGGATTGGAAATATTAAACCATAAAGAGATCTTGTCCACCACAGTCCCACAGGGAAAGCACAAGGTTTCCGAGAAAGCGGACTCTAGATCTAGACACATCATGAGTAAAAGTAATTCTGTAGGCATCTCTAGCTAGATAGTTAGCGAAGATGATGGATCTCATTGAGGTTTTACCAGCACTCATTCTTCCCATTAGAAGTACTTTTTCTATCTTTTCTGGTTCTCCGTCTTAATTTTAAGGTTGCATACTTGTTTAGTGATTTCTTTAAACTAATTATTATATAATTTAATTATATATACTCAATATCAAATCTTATAAGCCGAATCTAGCCAATGGGGTTTTGGGGTTTTGGGGAGATCGGAAGAGCGTCGTG